GCTCCTTCAAATACTTTGCTCTCCTCTGGGCTAACTCCGCCCACAGGTTTGGCTCATCTGCCTCTATAACCGCAGAAAGCAGCTTCGGAGCATCGACCGGCAGCACAGGATCCCGCCCGAACAGTAAGTGGTATGGGGATAGGTTTCTCAGAGCCGCCTGCTTTGCGAACCTGTACCCCGCCAGCACCCACCAGAGATCTCGGTCCCAACTCCTTTTGTGGGACTCACTGTAGGCCCGTAGTCCTTTCTTCAAGGTCTGTATGAGCCTCTCGGTCAGTCCGTCTGATTGAGGATGGTACCTAGAGGTGACCCTGTGCGTGATACCCATCTCTTCCAGCAGCTCGTCGAAGCTCCCTTGAAATTCCGTCCCTTGATCAGTGAGTACCTCCCCGCATGCCCCATACCTGGTGAGCACCAGCTCCTCAAAAGCGTCAGCTATCAGTGCGCTGTTCTTGCTTGGTAACGCTCGCGCCTCCACCCATTTACTCGTGTGCTCAACCATCACCAGAATGTACTGCTTCCCTCCTTTCGATAGTGGCAGCTCTCCCGCGAGGTCCAACGACCACCTGTAGCCCAACCCGCGAATTGGTAAAGAATGCAGCTCATCTCTCTCTTTCTCCAGCCTTGCTTTATTCCTCTGACATGCCTCGCAGCTCGCCACTAATCCTGCCACATCCTTTCCCATGCTCACCCACCAGTACATGGTGCTCAGCAGCTGCCGTGTTCTGGTTATGCCGAAGTGCCCCAGCTTCGCGTGCACATTCCCCATAATCTTGGCTCTCTCCTGTGGTTGTGGCACCACCTTCCACCCTTCGTTGGTTCTCAGCTGCAGCTGTTCCTGAAACCACCTGAAATGCTGCCCTCGGGCCCTGGCTCTCTCGCTCACTCCTTCCTCTTCTAGTGGCTCCCCTTTGATCCAGCTCAGGGTCTCCTCATCCTCCCATATATCCCCTAACCGCTTCTTTCCTTTCTCCTGCCCCCAGGGTACCGCCGCTACTTGAGCCAGGGCTGCCAGCTGCGCTACCGGTTGCATTGGTGGCGGATTCCTTGATAACCCATCTGCGTGCTGCAGCGTTTTCCCAGGCCGGTGTCGGATCTCAAAGTCGAATCCCAGCAGCTTAATGGCCCAGCGAGCGTTTCTTCCCGTCAGCTCCTGATGAGTCATCAACCATAGCAACGGCTGGTGATCAGTCACAAGTGTGAAGCGCCGACCCTGCAGGTACACCTTGAAGTGAGTGATCCCCCATACAGCTGTCAGGCCCTCCCCCTCGTAAGAGCAGTAGTTAGCCTCGGATGGGCTGCAGCTGCGGCTGGCGAAGGCTACCACTCTCTCCTCTCCTTCTATCTCTTGGCAGAGCACTGCCCCCATTCCTGTGCTGCTCCAGTCGGTGTATAAGATGAAAGGGGCATCTGCCCTCGGTATCTGCAGCAGCGTTCCCGTTCGTACTGCTTCTAACAGGTCCTGCCTTGCCGTTTCCTCCAGCTCTCCCCACTGCCAGCTCCTCCCTTCCTTCAGCAGCTGATTCAGTATGTAGGCTCGGCGGCTGAAGTTCGGTACGAACTTCCTGTAATAATTCAGGAAGCCGAGTAACGCCCGCAGCCCGGTCTTATCCTTTGGTGCTGCCAGGTTCTCCAGCACCTTAACTTTTGCTTCCTGTATCGCCAGCCGGCCCCCTTTCACTTCAAAGCCCAGGTAAGCCACGGTCTGCCTTGCTATCTTGCACTTGTCTGGATGGCACGTCAGACCCGCAGCTGCTATAGCCTCTAGCGTCTGCTTCAGATCTTGCACGTGCTGCTCTTCACTGCTGCTGAAAATCAGTATATCATCTATGTAGCAGGCTGCTGCTGGAATCCCCTTCAGCACCTGATCCATGGCCCGCTGGAACACTGCAGGGGCGTTGCGTATCCCGAAGGGCATCACATTGTACTCATACAGCCCATCCACCCCGTGAAACGCCGTTTTCCGTTTGTCTTCCTCCCTGATGGCTATCTGGTTGAACCCCTGTCGCAGGTCCAAGGTGGTGAAGATGATGGCGCCTTCTAAGCGATCAAAGATGTCTTCTGCTGTTGGCATGGGGTACCTGTCCGGGCTGGTAATCTTGTTCAGCTCCCGAAAATCTCCACACATCCTTTTCGCCAGCACTTTACCCGTGATATCCTTCCTGGCAGCTACCACTGTGGCTGCTGCGTAGCTTGACTCGGACGGGCGGATAATCCCTGCTGCTAGCAGCTCCTCACACTTCTCCTTGCAGATAGCCGCATCCTCTGCATTCATTCTCCTTCTTCGTTGGTAAGTGGGTATCTCTGTGGTAAGGTTTAGCTCCAGTTCTCTTCCCTTGTACCTCCCCAATTCCTGCAGGTTATAGGCGAAAGTGCTCCTGTGCTGGCGCAGCACCTCTCTGATTGCTTCTGTCGTCTGCTCCTTGATGTCCGTACCTAGCTTCCATTCCTTACCCTGCTCAGCTTCTTTGCCCCCTGCTAGTGCCGCAACATTCTCCTTTCCTCCCGTGCCCTGCTCAACAGCTGCATACGCCGCCTGCTTCTCTCCTTGTCCTTGCCTTTTTCCGGTCTCTCCTCCCTTATCAGCTGCCCCCTTCCTCATCTCTTTGATTAACCATCTCAGCGAGTGCTGGTCTATGGCTCTTCCTAAAGCTGCTCTGCGCATCCCTTCCTCTACCCCTTCTGATGCGGTTGCTCCTGGCAGGTATCCCATGGCTAACTCCCGCTCCAAAGCCGTCGGTTCCTCCCACTTCTTCTTCCGGTGATCGTACACCATCCCTGGTCCTGGTATTCCGTCCACCTCGATGAAACCTTGTGCCCTGGTGTATGCCACTAATGTAGGCCATGCCCTGCGAGCTTCCCCCACCCGGTTGCACTGGTACTGCCGCGGATGATCTGGTTTTACCACTGGTGCCGCCACCCTCCCTGGTTCTAAAATATCCTCTACTATCCTGCTTTCGTCCCTCTCCACTCTTGCTAGTCTTGCCCTCAGTTCCCCGTCTGGCAAGACGTTTTGCCAGTACTGCCGCACCCTATGACAGCGTGCCCCCAACTGTGCCCCATCACAGCTCACTCCTCTCCCCAGTTCTGCCTCCACCAGCTCCCTTACTGCCCTGACCGGCTCGCGTACGTCATTCCTCATATCCACATGCTCCAGGATGTAAGCATATTCTCCATTCACTTCACTCGTCCACTTCATTATGGTGAGTAGCTTGGTCACCATCCCCGTGCGCTCGTCCTGTAAGCCTTTCCCCTTTCCGGCCCTAGAAGTACCCTGACACTCCCATCCCGCCACTAACAAATCCACTTTACCCCAGCTGCTCACGTCTTCTTTCGTGAGCTGCCCCACGTCCCATTTCTTGTTCTGCATGGCCTCCCGTAGTACTTCTTTCGTCAGCTGCGCGGGGTACTGCTGCTGTAACATTTGAGCATGCTTCCATGCCATTCTCCTCACCTCTGGGTCCAATTCTACGTATACCCACTTCTTCACCCTCAGGCCTGCTTCCAAGGCTGCTGCCAAGCCCGCTCCTATTCCCCCGAACAGCTCCACTAGTGTAATGCTATACTGATCCAGGTGAGCGCTGCCGTTGCTCTTCCCCACACTTCCTCCCCTCCTGCTGTTCTTCCTCAGTCCTTCTGCTCTCCACGCCTTCTTGGGTTCTGTCTTAACAAACCGTACTGGTAGTTCACTCAGCTCCTTCCCTTCCTCCCAAAAGTCCGAACGGTAGAGCACCTGCTCCTGCCAGGTACAGATAGTGGTGCCTATCTTGAACAGCAGCTCCATTCCTAGTAGGATATCATAGTCTTCTGATTCTGTCAACCCACACTGCACTCTGATAGTGGTCTCCCCCTTCTCTCCCGGCTGTAAGGTTATCTCTATCAGGTCCCGTGTGCATGGCATCCACTTGGGGGCCCCTCCTTCTGCTGTCATGATCAGTATGCCCTTGCTTACAGTCTCTAGGTTCCCTTGCGCTCGCAGTTGTGCCGTCAGCTTCTTCCCGAAACTCTTCTCTTCCTTGAGCAGGATTATCCCCTCGAGATCCACTCCTCACATGGCCGATTCCACTCCCGCCAGCGACTGATCCACCAGTAGCGCTAGGCGGCGGCTCCCCTTGTCGGTCGCCCTCCCTCTCTCGATCTGATCCTTGACCCCCGCGCGCGTTAGCATCGCCCTCTTCAGCACGGAATCCAGGTGTCCTGATTGGTAGGCCTTGTCCCTCCATCATCCTTGCAGGGAAACGGAGTCCCGAGCGCAGCTGATGAGTGTGCAGTTCCTGATCGTGCCTACTCATTCCTCACGGCGCATCACCGTGAGCGACTCGAGGCTACTAGCTTATCTCCTGTACTTAAGACAGTCAACAACCTTTTTGCTTGTATGTAGCAAGCGTAACACTCCCCCTCAGGGGCTCCGTCAAATTGCTTATAGCTTCTCCTACTGCTAGTTCCCTCTGGATTAGGAAAACAAATTGCAGTAAATGAGAAACATACAAGCAAAAAGCAAGAAGCCCGAGTGCTACTCCTGCCTACATCTATTCCCACCCCCTGCCTAGGTTGCTTCCTCCACAAGCAAGCTCCTGTGCACCAAGCGAGTCAGCCGGGCTGCTCGCGAGGTCTCCAAGGTGCTAGCTGTGTTCCCACTGGGCCCACTAGGCATGCACTGCCTTCCAGCCTGGTGACTTCGAATTCAATTCCCAGGCTGGCATTGAATTCGCCTTCCAGCCTTGTGACTTCGAAATTGAATTCACAGGCTGGAATTGAATTCGTCTCCACCAACCTCCTTGAATTCGCCTCCCACTAACCACCTCAAATTCCCCAGCTACTCGGCTCTGCAGTACAGTACAATACACTCCAAGCACACAAATGAAATTAGAGTACAAAAGCGGTAAACTATAGTACACCCTCACCTTGGCTGCTGTGGTATTCACACTTAGTTGCCAGCTAAGTGTTAATAACGCGACATCCCGCACCATCTCCCCATCTTGTCCCGAGTCCCGACCATCATGATTGTTGGACCCTGCTGCTTCTTTCCCTGCCTCCCTGCCCACTCCTGCATGTCTTCCTTTGCTCATTCCTGTTAATCCTCCTCAAAACCCCCCCTTCCTCCCCCCCCCCCTCAACCCGCCCTCCCTTCTCCCCACCCCCAGCGTCCTCCCCCTACTCCAGTCTCGCAGTCAAGTACGGGGTGAAGGAGCCGTGTGGAGAGGTGCTGCTCTTCCCCTTGGGAGACGACAAGGAGGAGAATGAGCGCGAGGTGAGCTCACATGCTGGAAATGATGACACCGTAACTCCTTCGATGTTCGTCCAATGCGCCAAGCGTAGAGCCGCCTTCTCACCGGCATGTGCCATTTCCCACCCATCAGTGCCGTGTCAACATGCTACTTCCTTTCTCACCCCTTCTCATTCCTTCGCCTCATACCTCCTTACCCTTACCCTTCCCCGCCCCCACCAAAACCACCCCCACCAGCACATGCCCCTGTCATCCTCTCTCAAGGGGATGACAGCAGCGGTGTATGCCCTTGCGCCCGACTCCTGTGTGCGCCCATCACTGCCGACTCACTCGAGGCGTTCGCTCACACCAACCCGCTGCAGCCCAAGGTGGGGTGGGGGCAGGGCGGGGTTGGGGGCAGGGCGGGCGTGGGGGCAGGGCGGGCGTGGGGGCAGGGCGGGGGTGGGGGCAGGGCGGGCGTGGGGGCAGGGCGGGCGTGGGGGCAGGGCGGGGGTGGGGGCAGGGTGGGGGAGGGGGTGGTGTGGATGCAATGCGGAGCATCAACCTGCCGTACCCTTTGTGGCTCACCAGCCTCCACACGTGCCAGCCGTGCCATACCTCTGCTGCTGACACGATGCAAGTGCTGCTCCTCCCCATGCCCCTCCGCCCCTCCCACCCACGCATGCGCTTCTCTTCGCACTAGACCCTGGCAGATGTTTTTGTTCAGCACGAGTAAGAGGGAGACACCTGGCATGTACAAAGTGCTCTCCACCACCTTCCGCAAAGACGCTCTTTTCGCCCTGGTATGCGTGCTTCCTTGCTCTTACGTCCCTCTGCTGTGTGCTTCCTTGCTCTTACGTCCCTCTGCTGTGTGCTTCCTTGCTCTTACGTCCCCTCAGCTGTGTGCGCTCTATCCCGCTCCCTGGTATTCACCCCTCCTCGTGTTATCCCCTCTTCCCTCAGCCACTCATTCGCACCTCACACTACGCGTGTGCGTGTTCCCTGCACCCACTATGCACAAACCTCGATCTTTCCTGGATTGCTCACTGTTCGACCCCTCAGTCCCTTGCTGTTGCTCCACGGTCCCTGTTGCTCACTGCTGCCCAACGTCCATCACCTGTAGCATGTCCCCTGCTCATGTTCCTCACGCACCTTCCCCCCTCAAACCTTGTATCCCCTTCACCTCCTTCACCTCCTTCACCCCTCACCTCTCCCGCCAGGTGCATGAGAGTGAGAAGAAGGTCGTTGCTCAATTTGATTCAAAGTTGCCAAGTTCCCCCACGTGAGTACTGTGTGTGCATGTCAGTGCTGTGCCTCTCGTCCATGCCAGATCATCCCATGCCAGCTCATCCGATGCCATGTTGTGCTGATGCACACCACTCCAGTGACTCCACTCTCACACCTCGCGTGTGATTCCCACTGTTCCGTTACCTCTGCAATCTCCCGCATTCGCACACTCCCACCTCTCTTTCCTCTCCACCCATCTCCACCCCTCGCCACCACTCTGCACCACTGAGCTGAGCAGTTGTCGATAATGCTCCCAGCGCCCAGTCCAGGGAGGGAGGGCGAGGTGCAGCTGACGGTGCGTGACTTCCCGGGCCGCTCAAGTACCACATTGTGGCGCTGCAACTCATGCAGGTAGGGGGTTGGCTTGTGACTTTCCGGCCCGCTCAAGTACCACTCAGTGGCGCCTCAGCTCATGCAGGTAATTGGTGGGGTGTTGTCATATGCCGAGCACGAAGTAGGTGCCGCTGCTGATGCAGCTGGAATGGGGCGCTGGGATGAGCACCTCAAGCAGTAGGGAGGTTGGGTGTGGTGGGTCGCTGCATGCCATGTCACATGGCAACAAGGTGAGGTGGAGCCTCTCATGCAGCTGACAGTGCGGGACTTTCCCGGCCCCCTCAAGTACGTGGCACCTCAGCTCATGCAGTTGATACGGGGGGTTGGGTGTGCCAATTAGCTGCACATGTCACATGGCAAGTGCCAATTGGTACGTACGTGGTTGTACTGGTCCGCTCAGCTACCATGCAGGTGGTCTAGGGGTCAGGTATGGCACTGCCCTTGTCCCATACCAACTGTAAAATGTCGCATGGTCGTGCTGGCACCATGTCTCATCTCCACCCTTTCTCCACCCCCTTCGCTCCCTTCTGGGGGGCAAGGAGGGGCAGGAGGATGTCTTTCAGACGGAATGTGTCGGCCATGCTTATCAAGCCTTGGATGTTATTTGCATGTCAGACGCAGCATGTCAGTGGCATGCCATTTGCCTTGCTGCATGCCTTCTCTCCTCTCACCTCTCCTCTCCGCCCGCTCTCCTCTCGCCTCGCCTCTCCCCACCCACATGCTCTGTGTGATTGGTCTGTTCAACACGACTCCCCTCTCGACCAGCTCAAGCCAATGGCAGCCAAGTGGTACCCCTGGCTTTTCCACACCATCTCACCACACCGTTCACACCTCATCGCACCGTCTGGTAACCCCACTGTCCCTTAATCTCCCTCATCCGCGTGTCCCCTCTTTCCCATGTCCCCTTATGCACATGTCACCTCACGGCATCACGCGCCCGCGCTGCACCATCCACGAAGCACAGGAGTTTGATCTGGTGGACATCATGAGCGAGAAGGTGGAGGGTGCCGACGCCGTCGCCTCCAAGGAGCGCAAGACTCTGCACGTCAGCGCATCGTGGTGGCCCATGGACCCCTGGTGCCCTGGTGTGTCAGCGCATGGCCTATGACCCCTTTTGCCACCGCGGGTCAGCACGCCATTGCAGTGATTTCCTTGCCCTTCCCCCCGCCATCCCTGCCATTCTCCCACCATCCGCCCCACGATCTCTGCGGCATTTCCCTCACACCTCGCCTCCCACAATCATCCCACCAACCCAGCTCGCGCCTGCCCCTTCCCCCGCGTTGCGTTACTCACTTCTCACTCAACCCCGTCCTCGCACACTACCTTCCCTCTTTCCTCTCACATGGCAGGCTGACAAGGAGGCAGAGTAGGAAGCTGCCAGGAAGGCAGCAGAGGCGGACTCGGACATCAGGGAGAGCTGTAGCTGTGCTATAGCTGGGCTGTAGCTGGTCTACACCTAGGGTACTGTATTGTGGTTCTGCACCACTGTATGCAGTGTGCAGCAGTGCACACTTCTTGACGCAAGTAACAAAACCAGTCGTTTCTTTGATCGTATTGGGTTAATGTAAAGTGCATGTAACAATGATCACTATTCTACCTGGATAGAATCAATATCTCCGCTCACACTAGTAGAAGGTATGCAATGGTTGCTACTGGTATCTGAAACACTGTAAAACACTTCTACCACGTAACCACCTGCGCATCTCAGCATCAACCACGCCCAGTTACCATCCGCGGGCCTGCAGCTTTGCCTCGGCGGCCTTTCTCTTCTCCCTCTCCCTCTCCGTCATGCCAATGAGTTGCTGCACCGTGTCATTGAGTTCCTGCGCCGCACTTTGTCGCTCCACCACACCATTGAGTCGCTCCACCTCCCCCTGCAGACGGTCCCTATCTGCCGTCACTTCTTGCAGCATCACATCCCTGCTCTGCAAGTCGTCCTCCACCACATGCAGAACCCGCTCCACCCTCTGGTGTCACAGGGGGAACAAACAAGGCAGGAAGGACCAATGAAGAGGAGGGACGAGATAAAAGAGTAGTCAAAGCTCATCACTGGTTCCGGTCGAAGAAAGGGGGCTTGCGCTGTAACCACTGACGACCATTCAACCATCAACCGAATTTCTAGCACCACTGTCCGCATGCAGGCTCGGAAAAAACAGGATACGGTAGGAATGGCAAGGAAAAACGTGAAGGTGAGGAAGAGTGTCCGAGGGTGAAGCGAGAAGTAGGAAATGAGATGTGAAACATCCATACCTCAAGGCGTCTCTTTGTTGGAGCATGCGGTGCTGTGGGCACGGGAAGATTCATTTCCCCCTCCGAAACGCCAGGCACCGGTGTGGGTGCAAGGAGCGGTGTGCATGGGGTGGTGAGGGGGGGCGCCACCACATGCTCCTCTGCGCGACCCGACTGCGGCGTGCAGCGCAGCGAGTCCTTCTGCTGCAACCCATGGGGACGAAATGGTGCCGTGATGACATGGCGGCATGTGCAAACAGGGGGTTGAGAGTGTGACAGCAGTGACTGGGCCAACGGGGACGTATGCCACCTTTAAACAAGAAGGGTGCATGGCATGGGTCACCCACATAGGAAGAGAGCGATAAAGAGAGGTATGGGGAACGGGCAGGGGTGCATGATGTGTACCTTTGAGTGCTCTCCTGCAGCTGCCTGTGCCTGCTCCTCTATTCCCCCGCCCACCGTCTTCAGCTCCTCCTGCACCGCCTTCCGCTGGATGAGGCGGGGGAGGGGGAGGCGAGAGGGGGGGGAGGGGGGACAGGGAAACAAAGGAATCAAACACGCTTGATAGGGGTTTAACCCTGCATCACTGCGCCTGCTCGCCCGATGTCCTTGTCCCTAATCTGACCACGCACTCACCTGTGACTCCAATGCTGCCCTACCCTTGACTCATTCCGCAGACTCATGTTGTTGCCCCTGCTGCCAAAGCAATGTTGCTCCCTTAACACAAGCCAACCAACCCTGAAGTTGATTAAACTTACCTGCGACTCCAGAGCTTGTGTCCTGGCGTCATTCAGCAGACTCATGTTGTTGCCCGTGCTGACATGGCAATGTTGCTGCCCCATGCCCTGCCCTTCGCCCCGGATCTTCCCCTTCATGTCTGGATGCATAGGGAGGGGAGGCGGGAAAAGAAAGAAAGGGCGGTGGGGGCAGGGTTGAGTTCGGGAGAGAGGAGTGCAGGGAAGGGACGGGGTTGAGGATGGGGAAGGGAGGCAAAGGGGGGGTTCAGGGCATCACTCGGATCTTCCCCTTTATATCTAGGCATGCGCAAAGGAAACGAATGGGGGCAGAAAATGTGAGGGAAGAGGTTCAGAGCGCGCCAGAGAGCCAAACCCATGCACAAGCACCCATGCCCAGCCCACCCTCGGCCCACTCACCCTGCACCATGTTAAAGTCCCGATTGCGCTGCACCATCTCCTCCAGCTCCGCTATCCGCTTGCCCTGCCGCTGTATCACCTCCACATCCTCCACTCGGTTCCGCTCCATCTCCTGTAGGACAAGGCCGGGATCACGAGTGGGAAGACGAATCAGAACGAAGACCAATGATCAAAGTCGCCCACAGCATGCGTTTAACCCACACATGACGAGACTCACCACCTTCATCTCCCTCAGCTCCTGCAGCTCCTTCATGATTTCCTGCCAATTCCCCCACTGCGCCTCCTTCTCCTCCACCTCCTCGCTTGGCTGGGCCCCTGCCGCCCGGATCTCCTCCAATTGCTGCTCGGCAATTGCCAGCCTTGCTGCCAGGTCATCCCGCTCTGCTCTCAAGCTCAGCTCCAATGCCGTACCCCCCTCCCCAGCCGCCCCACCCCTACCAGAGGCCCCCCCCAATGCATTCTGGCGCCTAGCAAAGCGGCGAGCGAGGACATCATTGATGTGCATCTGGATGGCGAGGCAGATCTCCTCGCCCTGCGCACTCTTGAACTGGTAGACGTTCGGCACTCCCGCCATGCGGAAGGTGAAGAACACCGCGGCGGCGGTGCTGTCGACCTGCAGGATGTTACGCAGCTCCACTGAAACAATATATTCCTTTGGGGAAGGCCGGATGAAGTGCACCTGTGAAGGGACAGAGTGTGCACGAGGGTCAAGGCTAATGGCAGAGGGCTATCTCCTCTCAATTGCTCTCCTCCATATGGCAATGATCCCCCATGTGGGACACCAAAAAGGCAAAACCCCTTCGGGGGAAGAAGGGTGACTTACCCCGTGCTTGTTGATGCCCATAAGAACTTGCTTCGGGAGCAATTTCCTGGGGTCTTTAACGCAATTCAAATGGTAGAAAGTCGACCCATAGTAGGGTAGGGTTCGAATGACCTGCAGAGACTGCTTCCTCGCGTCTTCAGCTGATAGGTGGGACTGGATGGCGGGGAAGGAGCGAGGGGACGAGGCGTAAAGGCAGATAAAGTGAGTGTGCGAATGTGCACGCCTACGTCCCACTCTCACTCCTATTATACGAGTCGTCAATATGAAACACACCATTTCCATGGTCAGGATTTGGTGGAAGCTCACCAGCGCGTTGTAGCGAGTGAGCACGTCCGTGTGCCACTCTCGCTGCTCCTTCATGGGTCGGATCTCCACGGGGATCCTTTGCTCCACCTGCGCTTGCCCGATTCTGGGAGAACGAGACAAAGGGAAGACGTGGAAAGAACAAAAGGAAGGGGGAGGCGAAAAGGACGAAGGGAGGGAGGGACGGAGGGAGGGAGGGAGGGAGGGACGGAGGGAGGGAGGGAGGGAGGGACGGAGGGAGGGAGGAAGGGAGGGACGGAGGGAGGGAGGGAGGGAGGGACGGAGGGAGGGAGGGAGGGAGGGACGGAGGGAGGGAGGGAGGGAGGGACGGAGGGAGGGAGGGAGGGAGGGAGGGAGGGACGGAGGGAGGGACGGAGGGAGGGAGGGAGGGAGGGACGGAGGGAGGGAGGGAGGGAGGGAGGGAGGGAGGGAGGGACGGAGGGAGGGACGGAGGGAGGGAGGGAGGGAGGGAGGGAGGGAGGGAGGGAGGGAGGGAGGGAGGGAGGGACGGAGGGACGGAGGAAGTGAGGGAGGGAGGGACGGAGGGAGGGGCGGGGGAGGGAGGGAGGCAGGTAGGCAGGGAGGTAGGGAGCGAGGGAGGCAGGGAGGGAGGGAGGGAGGGAGAGAGGAAGGGAAGGCAAAAACATGTGCTGTTTTTAATTAAGAGGTCAGTGTCACACTTGGAACGGTCCCTGTCTTATAATGAATTTAGCCGCCTCAGGTGAATAAACTCACAGCGCTACTTCAGACTCAGGCAGCAAGCCAAGGTCCAGAACTAGATGGAGCGCTGCGAGCTGCGCCACGAGATCCAGAGGCGTGGGATAGTCCTCTTCGTATTCCTGCCTAGCTTGGAAATAACAGAGCCGGATGAACAGCGGGTCCGTTATCGCCTCCTCCCCGTCCCGGAAAGACTTCTTGCGCAGCATGAGGCGCCGCTCCACTTGCCGCTCGCTACTCCCCGTGGAGCTCATCAGGGCGGCCATTACGTCCGCCAATCTAGCGCCCTCGTCAATGCCCGTGTAGTCATCTGCTCAACATAACGAAGAACGAATGATCATCACGGATGCAGACAATCTATGCATACAACCGGAAACCTCATGTTACTTCAACCACAACGAGCCTGTAACTTGAAATAATCACCATATTCACCGAGCCTGTTACTACACACCATATTCAGTCACAACATTGTTTACGCCCGAACACAAATATTTGGTGGACAGGCTCACGTGCATCCATGCAGCCATAGAATCAGTGAATTACTCAGCTGTAACGCTCTGCCATAGCCTGAACCAGCTGCGGCGTGTGGGGCTCACTCGAGAAGATTCCTGTGCTGTCGTTGGTGCACCTCCGGTGCTCGAAGAGCCCGAACCTTTTGAACTCCCCCAGGCCAATTCTGCTCGCCACGTTCTGCATCGACCAAGACAGAGCAACGACGGTCACACAAGACAGAGTCGCATGGAGGAAGAGGAGATGCAGCAGGGAAGTGGGGCGACGAAAGAGCGCACAGGAAGGGAGATGAAAGCAGAGTGAGGAGGGAAGTTGAATGGGGGGGGGGGGGTGGGGAGAGGGGATATGAATGGGGGGAGTGGAGGCGAAATGTGGCTGTGCCTATTAGCAGCAACACTTCAAGCACCCCACGCTTTCTAACATCCCATGGCCTGCAGAGACGTAAGATGCAGCAGGGAAGTGGGGCGACGAAAGAGCGCAGAGGAACGGAGATGAAAGCGGGATGAGGAGGGAAGTTGAATGGTGGGGGGGGAAGAGGGGATATAAATGGGGGGAGTGGATGCGAAACGTAGTTGTGCCTATTAGCAACAAAGAGCGTATCAAAAGCGAAGCAGAGACGTAGGGGCGCCCCAAAGGCAGAACCACGCAACGATCCCACGCGTTTACAGACGCACCTCCAAGATATCCGCAGCCGTCTTGGACTCATCGTACTCCACCTCCTCGAATGTTTCATCCACAAGAAACACCTTTGCCTTGAGTAGTCTCCCCGCCATTGGCGCTTGAGCTGATAGGTCGGCGAACAGGGAAGACGGAGGGGTGTCTATGTGTGTGTGTGCGAGGAGGCAAGGGACTGGAAGGTAAAAAAACTGGAAGGCAAGGGACTCAAGAATGCACTTAAGGGGGGTCTAGCGCTGAGGCGCCTCAAGAGCGGGCTTAAGAAGGCGGGATGGGAAGGAGGGAGGGGAAGAACATGCCACGGGGGCATGGAGAGTCTGTTCATCGCAGGAGACAGTGACCAGGGCGAAGGGAACGTTATGACTAGGGACGAGATTCACTTATGAGTCTTGTGAAAATAAATGGACTGGGGTGAGCGGTGAGGGGACTCACCACGGCAAATTCCAAAGGCCTTGGAACGGCAAGGGAAGAGGAGGAAAAATGCGCAGCGGCAAGTGGCTGTGGTCGTCATGAAAGGATGAGTAGATGAGAAATATCTGATCGATGGCGTGAGGCTTGTTGGGCGGCGTCATGATCGAGGAGGGGGGCCTCGTCAAGGTGGCGCCTTGGGGATACCTTAGCAGCTGAGGGAATAGGCGGGTTACGAATAACTCCAGTTAGATTGGGCTGCTCTGCAGAATGTTGGCTCAATTCTCAAGACTTTGGATCTCGAATCTGAACCATGTAGGGAATGTTGAATTTGAATTCTCAAAGACTATCTCAAATCACAGTTCCTAAAATCAAGAGGAACCTAAAATCACAGTTCCTGAAACCACGAAGTCAAGATTCAGTACACGCCTGTTCCAGCATCATATTTCGCATAGCTTGATTAGGATTATATTCTTCTGCTCATGCTCGGACTCCGCTGCTTTCCGTTTCCCCATGCATTAGTGCGCCTGTGAGTCTTCCCAACAGCGGATGGCCCACTCCTCGGGCTGCGGCAACCACGCCAAGGCTACTCCCATGCAGCCACGGCGTTGGGGGGAGTTGGCGTAGGCGTCTACCACAGCGCGCGTAGAGTCTCGCTCTGCTCGCTGCTTCATCTCCCTCCATTTCTCTCCACCCGCAGGCGCCGATGCCGTCCCCTGTTCGTTTGCGGGACACCGCGATTGAGTAGTGCGGGAGGCCACGAGCCGACGAGCGGGTTCCCGATGAGCCATCCGGCTGCAGCAACAGCAACCAGCCGTGGGCTGCAACGCAACGCCTAGAGGGGGAGGAGGGGGGGAATTGCTCAGGGTATGGAATTTGTCTATTGCACACCCCAGCCCGTCCTTCCCCTCCCTCTCCCACCAACCCCCAGCGCCATTTGCTTTGTGGGTAGGTTTGTGAGGCGCGATCGTTGAGGCGCCCCACAAGCCACAAACCACGCCTGCACTCCCCCTCCCTCTCCCTCTCCCCCAGTGACATCCACTTTGTGGAGGCTTTGGCGTGGTGGCGTGGATTGGCGTGGCTGAGTATGTGAGACCATTCTTCAACCCGCCCTGTCCTTCCCAGTAACATGGGCGGGTTTGGCACGGTGGCGTGGCGTGCATAGGTGTGGTTTGAGTATTTGGCTGCCACACCTGATACCATCGCCACCAACCACGTCGAGCAAACGCTGCAGGTGAGAGTGAGGGCACGTATATGCAAGCCTTCTTCAAGTTGTAGAGTGGTGTAGGACACATCTCATATGTTCTGCGTTGTGGGTCCCTCCCTAGAGAGTCCACTAAATTGGTACATGGCAGGACACCCCATGAAACCCCATACCATGCAGCCATCTGCGGTCAAGAGTCAGAATCGGTGTGATGTTTGTGCAGTCAGATGCACTCACACACGGCACAATTTTTTTGTTGTGTAAGCTTGTCATATTTTCATATGGTAGTGACTTTGCATTCCAACTCTCTTTTTCAGGCAATTGCAAAACAGATCTGAGGTAATGCTGTAAACACCTCATACCACATTTTCTTATAACTATATACATCGCATTGCAGCAAGCCCAATGAAGACTGTACAAACCGCATCCAAGACTTGCATGACTGAAAATAAGATGCAAAATCACATTACACCGATCGAAGGCCTCAGTACTGGATGAGTTGTTTCAGAGCCTCCACGATCTGAGGTTGGTAGGAGGGGTGGGGTGGAGGATAGCACCGTTGTGGAAGTGGTGCAACAATACTGTAACATTGCCACCACATAAGACTGAGCGGAGAGGCCAGAGGTGGTGTTTTGTGTGTGCAAGTGACCAAGCGGGCTGGCAGATACGGAGGCACACGGAATAAAGTTGAACAGGAATCATGAGAGGTGCATGGGAGATCACCTTGTCCTGCGTTGGGAGGTAGAAGGGCTCAAACACAAGCGGGAAGGGTGTGTCCAGCCCGCACACACGTGCCACTGGGGCTTGCAGCTGCAGTCCACGACAGGGAGAACAGGGACAATGGACCGTGTGAGGAGGATGGAATGAGGAGTCATGGGGCATGATCCCAGATGCATACGATAACTACTCCCTCTCCACCTCCTTTTGCTCCCAAAGTTCAATTCCCCTCTCTTTCCCAGCTCCCCCGTGTGGCATGGCATGTGTGGGTCAGGGCGAGTTGTCTGACCCGGAGGAAGCAGCGGTGGGTGATGGTGGCCGCTATCTCCGCACCGAATCCACCCGTCACAGGCGCCTCGTGGCTCACCTGCCTCCCCTCGCATGCACCGACATGCACACGTGCACACATGCACCAACATGCACACATGCACACATGCACACATGCGCACGCACATGCCCACATGCCCATGCACACACACATACAAGCGCAAACATACCCATAATTGAGCACGCATGCATGAGCGCGTGCAGAGATGCACGCAAGGCAGCGCACAAGGTCCATGGGGCTGCATCTCTGCCTGCGCACACGCGTGCGTGTGTGCTGGGTGCTGGTTACTTGAAATGCAACCCCATGGAGATGCAAGGGGTTAGCAGCAAGTGCATGAGGCTCAGGACTAAGAGTGCAGCGCAGTGAAGTGAGTGAATGTGGCTCAATGAAGTGGCGTCCGCAAGTACTTGCCCATGAACATTACTGCCATGCACGCCTCGTTTGCCACAACCCAGGAATTGGGCAAATACTTTTCACGTGTGACGGAAGGGGGACATGGAGGAAAGCAACGGCGCGAGAGGAGGCGATGAGAGGGGATGCGCAGGGGAGGCAGTGGGAGGAGAGCGCGTACCAGGAGGCGGCCGGTTTTGCTGACGGAGGCTTCAACGGTGGCAGCATCCCAGGGCAGCAGCGTCTGCAGGTCGATGACCTCACACGATATGCCCACCTGCCCCGCGCGCACCCGCGAATGTACAATGCACGGCACCACAGGGGGTGGAAGGGGGGAAATGGGGAAATGGGGTAATTAGAGGAATGCGTTGGAACTGAACAGCAGGGTCGAGAGGGGGGGCTGGCGGCGAGGGCAAGAGGATGAGACAGGAGCGTAGAGAGTCGGGGAGGTGGAAGGAGCAGTAGGAAGGCATGGGCATGGCAAGCAGGAGTACCTGGGCAGCCTCCTCTGCTGCTCGCAGCAACACCGCCAGCTGCGCCCCCCATCCCACCACTGTCACGTCCGTGCCCTCCCGCACTACCTGCCACACATGCACACGCACACAGGGGCATGCAGCATCAGGAAAAAGGGCTGGACCTAGCCCTTAAAGGCTCAAGGGTGCTGCATCATTGAAGGGCGAACACGAAGTGGAGGGGTAGAGCGGATGGGTAAGGGAAAGGGCTGCATTAATCTTCTTTTAAGACAACAACCACCTCCCACATTTCTCCATGCGGAATCACATTCTTCAGATACATTCCTGACACGATCTTCTCCCCCACAACCCCGCCTCCCCTCTAGTCTCAGCGGGGTGCGGTGTGGCATGCGCACCTGAGCGGAGGAGAGCGGTAGCATGTAGTCGTGCAGGGGTACGGGCTCCACTGCCAGGCGGTACAGCCACTGCCATGCGGGCACGGCAGGGGGTGTGATGGTGACGGGCAGCACACGGGATGTGGACACGGGGGATATATAAATGGGGAAATGAACGTTGGAAGGGAAGCGCATACCACCTGAGTCACAGTACTTTGCATGGGGCATGGAGCACGCGGCATAATGGCGCACAGGTCACGGCACACAGAGCGGTGCAGTGTGCAGTGTGCAGTGTGCGGTGTGCGTGCATGGCAGGTGGGTGGGAGCGGCATGCCTTGGGTTCGAGGAAGATGCAGGGGTTGGCATCGCGGATGGCAGACAGCAGCAACCCCTTGGCCTGCACGGGCCCTCGCGGCACCACCACCTGCCACACGGACCCACACGCAGAGCAGCACCAGCACAGCGCAGGGCGAGATGGTGGGGGGGGTGAGAAGGTGTGGCGTGGCGGTTGGGCCGGGATCCCAGGGACGTGCGGAAAGGGGAGGTGAAGAGGCAGGCGGAGCGGAGGGGTAGAGAAGAGCACAAGCGGGCAGCTTGGGTGGGCCCATATGGGCTTGACTTGGCCTTCACCACGCGGCAACCTGTAGACGGACCCGGCACAGATGGTAACCTTGACTCCCCTCTCTGTCCACCCTGGCATGAGGTCACAAGCACACATTTAAAACCAGGGTGCACATTCAATTGGATTTCTGTCAAAGGTTAACCTTTGACCTCGGGGTTACTCAGTGATTTAGGAATATCTGGGGGGAGTGTTCGCTTCAGCAGGTGAACATTTGAACCCTCGAGATTTGGCAAATGTATACCGAAGTCATCGAATGTGCTTCCGCCAATTCGTTTCCCCCCTCCCCATACCTATTCCGCTCCCACCGAAATTGTTTCCCCTTCCCCCACAATATCGTCTCACCCCCTTTCCCCTTTCCGCCAACCCAGTTGCCCTCCCCTTGATCCCCAATTTCTAGATCCAAGTGTTATCAATTTCTCCCCTGCCAAGCCTCATCTCTCACGGACGAAAAGCCCCATGCTCGCCCATTCTCAACTATTTATTCGCTACTCGTCAACCAATCAGCAGTTCCCGCAAACATGCCGCCCAAAATTTAGCCTGGAGTCGCGTTGAATGTGTACCCTGGTTTTAAGGGTTGATTCACTGAAACCTTCGCATCCTGCCACACCCCCCGCCGCCGCCGCCACCGCCGCTGCAGCAGCAGCAGCAGCAGCAGGCGCGGCACATTGGATGGAGCAAGGCAGGGGCGTGGAGAGCGCACCTTGAGGCCTGGCACGTGGCAGAAGAAGGCCTCTGGCGACTGCGAGTGGTAGTGCCCCCCATGCCCCACCGCCCCGTACGGCGCTCGGATCGTCAGCCCTGCGCGCATGCACGCATGAAAAAGGGGCGGACATTTGGGCGCTGTGGTGATTGAGTGAGCTGAGCAAGTGTGTGGATTGGGGAGCAGGGGAGAAGAGGGGACAGGGGGTAGGATGGGCGGGGTGGGTTTGCGATGGGAGCAGTGAGCAAGCACTGGTGTGTGCGTGATGCAGGTGAGGGCAGTCTGACTGACTGTGAGAAGCGGGACAGATAGAACAAGGGCGGTGGAGGCGGCGAGGCGCGAGGGGTGAGAGCGTGGAGAGATGGGGAGCATGGGCGGAAGAAAGGCGCAGGATGCGCACAGAAATGCCATGTACTTGCAAGAACCACCCGTGTGACCATCAACGACAACAGTAACATGGCAGCTCAACTCCTACCCCACCTCCATGCGCGTCTCCCCCCCACGCGTCCCCTCTTCCCCGTACCTCCGCAGTTGAACTGGTTGCCACTGCGGTAGCGGTACTTGGCCGCCTCGTTCACAATCTGCCCGCGCACAGGCCGCACACAGAGGAGGAGGGCGGGGGAAGGGGAGAGAGAGGGGCACGGATATGGCGGCTAGGCGGCGACGAGCAGAGCACGGCTGGAACGCCATGTGCTAGCGTAAAGTGGGGCGCGGAGCACAAGCAAGCTTGCAGCAGGTGGGGGTTGGGGAGGGTGGGCGGAAACAGGGAACGGCAGAAGAGCGGGATGAGAGGGGGAGAGGGAGAGAGAGAGACGAACCTGGTCGAATGCAGGAAAGATGTAGTCCGCGAACTGGATCTCCGCTATCGCCGTGTTGCCCTGCACGCACGGCCAGCGAGTCGCACAGATAACGAGTCGCACAGATAACGAGTCGCACAGATAACGAGTCGCAGGAAAGCTAATGGCGCAACATGATGTGGATGAGACGAGTGCGGGTACGAGAGCGGGCGAGGATGGATGCGAAGGACGTGGAGGGCGGGGATGAATGGACGCATGATACAAGACGCGCGCGGAGGAAGGGAGAGAGGGGGTCCGCGGACAATAGGAGAGAGGGCAGCGCATCGTACCATGGCAGCGAGACCCACGGCGAAGCCCGCTATGCCCTGCCACGGGGAAAGAAATGGGAGGGACGCATGGCGAAGGAAATGACTTCACGGGATTGTGATTGGGGACAGCGACGAGGCAGCAGCGAGGGCATGTGGCACAGATACGCTACACCGCTGCACCGCAGGTCGCTGCGTGGAATTGGCGCTTCGCGGCGCGTCGCGGCGCGACGCGGCGTGGCGTGGTGTCACCTGTTCGCAGAGCGGCGTGTTGAATACTCGGTGGCGGCCGAACCGCTCTGAGAGTCCCGAGGTGCAGCGGAAGACGCCACCGAAGCCCACGTCCTCGCCGAACACGAACGACCTGCGCAACGCCGCGCACGACACGCGCGGAGTCAGAGCGGAATCAGAGCACCATGGGGCGCACGACGCGGCAAGATAGAGTGGCGAAACGCGGTAGTCGTGCGCGACGGCAACAGCGGGTCGGCCAACAGCCCGCTCTTCCCCACCGCCCGTCATGTGCCTCGCGGGCCCTTGCCGCTTTCGTTTCCCCAACATCCCGCCCGTGTGCGGGACGGAATGGGTCCGTTGCGCTGACCTGGGGTCGGAGTCGAGTGCGATGAAGAGCGCATCGTTCACCGCCGTGAACACATTCATGCGCCGACTCGGCAAATCTGCCCCCGGGGCGTCACCGCTCTCTCCATCCGCCCCCGTGAGGCGGTCGCCTTCAAAGACAGCGCGCTCGGGCAGCGAGGCGGGCGACGAGGAGTGTGCGCGCGACGGCGATAAGACGCGCGCGGCGACAGTCAGGAGGGCGGCGGGCGAAGTGGCGCCATGAGGGGCGGAGAGGGAGGAGGCGATACGGGCTGTGGACTGCTTGAGCTGAGGGGAGGATGGAGAGGGATGGGAGGTGAGGGAGCGGAACGCGGCTCGCGGCCACATGGGGCTGAAAGAGCGAGGTTGCGAGTCCCTTGCACTCACTCTGCCAAGAGCCACTGACCCTCCTAGCTTCAAATCCCGTTGGGCGAACAGAGGGTCGCCGCTGTCAGGCGGAATATGACGATATCTCAACTGGGATATGCGCTGCCGCCTGCGCGCTGTGTTTGCTAATATGTGCTATGTGCTGTGCCACTTCAGCTGGCTTCATTCAATTTAGGCTGAAACGAGGCTCGACAAAAGACTGCGCTGCTGAATGTAGCGAAGTGGGAGTGACAATTGGCGCGCAGGGACTAAATAATAGAGGCTCGGAATTGGAACTTACGTCCGTGGCCGAGGAAGGAGGGGACGTGGCACGCGTCAGCATAAGGCACAACCACGCCAATGTCAAGTCAACTCAGAACGAAAACAGCAACGGATCCACGTCGATATGATGCAACAGAAATTCAGCAGCAAAAGGTATTGAAAATGAAAGTCACTTAGTGTATCTGAGACACCTTACTTAGATTTTCTTTAATAAGCTTACACATTGTCTTTGGTGATATATCCTACCAAGGCTGAAAATTAAAATATAAAACTGCTTTGGAGAGAAATGATGAAGCCAATTTTTAGGTTTGGACGTAAGGAGCCTACTATATATTGATGCCACTGAGTTTGCCGTTAAAATGTTCAATCATAACTACAAAATGCATTGGAATACGGTGGGAAAAAATGCATTAAACATGCTGGTGGAATACATGCAAGGCATCCTAAGTCTTAAAATGTTGTAGTCAAACAGCATATGCTGTTATCTAATGAAATGCTTGTGTGATGGTTGGAACATTCTCGCCACTGACAGCTCAAAACGTGGTGGATTGTTACTTGGTAGACGAGTCATGTCAGTGAGCGCGGTATGCGCAGCGCAAGAAGCTTGGAATTGCACGATTGCCCAAGTGCGGAAATGAGATACTTCCCTCGCAATTTTGGACGGAGGCCGTCGGAGGGCACGGATAAACTGGTGGCTGTGAATGCGGATCACGGACGTCTGTCACGTCACATCACCGAAGCCGACGGCGTCGCTCTAACGGCCTGGTTGTCTTTGGGCTTGGATGGACGGTGATGCACGGCCAAGCGATGCGGCTCAGCCATTGGCGGAAACTGAGCAAAGGGGGATGAGACTTGGCGCCAAGAAGCACGCAAATCTACGCCATTTGAGATTCACGAGTTTCAAGGAGGACATTTTTTGTTTGCCCGTAAAATTCAATAAATTCTGTATCGACACCAGGTAGCGATTTGAAAAGTGCTAAGCAGCATGAGCGCGCAATGTAAAACTACCCCTCACTCTCTGGTTTTCCTCGCATGGTTCATTGCTCGTTCTTAGGTCAGCGCTCAGAACTCCTATGATCAGTTTTGGAAGGCTTGGCACACAGCAAAGCAAACTCTCCTTTTGGACAACGTACCTGCTCTGCTCCTGTGCTGTCCTGTCAAGGCACACCCTTCTTGGCGCCATCGATTTCCTACATATGGGACCATTAGTTTCTATCACTCAGCAAGTGGTATATCTACATACGGCGTCGATTTTACCAACGTTTTAGGGATAGGTCAACTTCTGTCTGCTTGGTGTAACGTCCTATTGTTAGTCGTTCGTACCTCACGGCTAGTCGTTCGTACCTCACAGCGCGAGCAGACCAGGATCATGGTTGATGCTAGGGCGTTAGCAACTGCAGCCGTAGAACCGCTGCTCTCCCCACTTACTGTCCATTCCGCTCCTGCTCCACGCGTATCTCGCTCACGCGACAGCCGCCAATGGCTATGGAAAGGTATCGGCGGGTTTGCTGTGCTGCTGCTGTTCTACACGCCTTTGCTCGAGTTGAGTCGGCGCCTCACCTTCACCACGCGGATAGCCCCCAAGCCCGCTGCCACTACCCCGCTCGACCAGTTTTCCGAAGAACGAGCCATGGCGCACGTGGTGCGACTCGCGACTGACATCGGCATTCGGCAGGTGCGCGCTGCAATGCACGCCCGCTAATGTCACCTGTGCGGCCGCGATCCGCTGCCTTCTTCCCTCCGCCTGCCTCTTACCCGTCCCGATCCACATCGTGTCTTGTCTTGCCGCTGTCGCACCGTCGATTTGGGATCGTTGGTTTCCATCGGACGCCGCGCTAAGTGGTCGGGCGTGCAAACTTACCGATGTGGTATTGGCAGGAAGGCAGCGAGGGCTTGGATCTGGGCAGAGCGTACATTCTCGACGAGGTCCGGCGACTCAAGGCCAAGGCGTCGCCGCGACTTAGGTCACTATTCCTCCCCCTCGCTATCCTCGTAGCTATTCGTCCTTGCTCTCCCCAGTTTCCTCGTCCGCCATCCTCTGCCCTCCCTTTCCCCTCCCCTCGCCCCGGTGTCGCGTATGCTCATTCAGATCCGACGCAACAACTCGACTCCCTCGTGCCCTCCAATAGCCCTCTCTGTCCCTCTTGTCTTTCGCGTCCGTTCCCTTCCCCCTCTCCCTGCTTCTGCTCCCTCCGCCTCATCGCTCCATCCGCACGTTCCGAATCCTCGCTCGTGTCGTCAACTTCCCGTATCGCGGTACCCTCACTCACGCCTCTCGCCACTGTTCGCCATTCTCGTCTCGTCTCGTGGCGGCGCAGGTTCGAGATCGACGACAGTCGCGTGAGCGGGTCGTTCCACATGAACTTCCTCTTCCGCAGCCTCACCCTCGCCTACCAGAACCTCTCCAACGTCGTCGTCAGGTACGGTACTCCCGCTCGCGTCGCACCCCCCGCTCCCACGTGCCCGTGCCAGCACACCTGGATCTGCCCCACGTCCTCGCTCAGTGCCCATCGCTCCTGGTCCCTCGCTCATATCTGCGCCTTGTCTCGCCCATCCTGCTGTGGTTGCGCTTTCTCCCGTCTTATTATCCTCCCTGCACCTATCGATTACTGGCCCCACATCTCATGCTGTCTCTCTGATTTCCCAACCCCACCTCAGAGTATCGGACGCATCGCTGCCCGTGGACGCGTCGCCCTCGATTCTCCTCAACGCGCACTACGACTCGCCGCTAGGCTCGCCCGGCGCCGCAGACTGCGCCTCGTGTGTCGGTACGCCGTGCCCCGTGGTCCCTCTGGCCCAACGCAAGAACCGTTACTTGTGACGGCTTTTCACGTATCATCCCTTTCTGCACCGCACTGCACACCTGCCACATTGTAACCGCTACTTTCCTGTGTCCATACGGTCTGCTCCCCTTCCACTCGCTCCTCCTCACCCTGCCCTGCATTCCCTCCCGACTCCCTATTGCTATCGCCTCCGTCCCGCCGTCCCGCCTATCCCCCCCCCCTGCTCCGCCTATCCCGCCTATCCCGCAGCGACTTTGCTGGAGGCGTTGCGCGCGATGGCGGAGGGCGGCAAGGTGCCGCGCGCGCCCGTGATCTTCCTCTTCAACGGCGCGGAGGAGGTCTTCCTCAAGGTCAGCCCCGCGCGCCCCTGCCGCGCACCCGCGCGTGCCTCGCGCGCCCCTCCCTGCTTCCCTCTGCATCCAGCGCTCCCAGCCTCCCGCGCGCCTTGCCGACGTGCCGCTCTCTCGTAGACTCGTATAGCCACGTGACTTGCCGACCTCGTTCTTGTCTTCCCTTTCCCCCCCCTGGGTCGCGGTGGTGGCAGGGCGTGCACGGGTTCGTGACGAAGCACCCGTGGAGCGAGACCGTAGGCGCCTTCATGAACTTCGAGTCCTCCGGCTCCTCCCTGCCAGGTCAGCCTCGCTCGCTCGCTGCCAGGTGCCACATGGCCGCTTGATGGGTGGCTAGTTTCTGTTACCTCCTCTTGACCTTCCATACCCACACTCGTTGACCACCACGAGCACCGCTCCCAGCCCTTCACTCACCGTCCCTCTTCTTCCTCCTCTTCCCCCTCCCCGCCCCCTCCAAATTCCCTCCCCCCATCTCCCCGGGTAACCCGTGGGCAGACCTGGTGATTCAGAGCGGGCCCGTGATGTGGCCCAACCGCGTGTACGCCGAGTCCGCCGTGCACCCCTCCGCCACCGTCATCACGCAGGTCAGCCTCCCCGCGCATCGGCGCAAGAGGGGAAAGGGCGGAGGTTGAGGGGCAGAAGGGTGGAGGCGCAGAGGAGGCAGGAGGGTGCGAGGTAGGAGGGTGCGAGGTAGGGTGAGGGAGGTGAAGGAAACACGGAGAAGTGTGAGGAATGGACTGAAAACGGTGAACATCTCCTCAACCTGGCTCCTTTCCGTGCATGCATGCATGTGTGCGTGTGTGCGTGTGTGTGTGCGTGTGTGTGTGCGTGTGTGTGTGCGTGCGTATTCGCATGTGCATGGGCATGGCTGTGCGTGCAGGACTTCTTCCCGCACGTGCCGGGCGACACGGACTTCCGCATAGTGTCAAAGGACTTTGACGACGTGCCGGGCATGGACTTCATGATCATGCTGCGCGGCTACTTCTACCACACGCCCTATGACGTCGCTGACAAGATCATGTGAGCAAGCCACCGCACTGCCGCACTTGCACCGCACCGCACCGCGCTGAACCATCTTCATGTTGCGTGCCCTTCCATCTCTCTGCTTTCCTGCTCCCTCCTGCTCTCTCTTGCGCTTCTCCCTCGCCCCACCGCTCTCCCTTCTCACCTTGCCCCTGTTCTACGTGCCACATGGCCTCACCTCTCACTCCTTCCCCATTCCCCCTTCTGCATCCCCATCCGTATCCCCATCACCTCATCTCCCTTTCTTCTCATCCTTCCTCCCTCCCCCTTTCCCTCTCCCTCTCTTCCTCTCCTCCAGGCCGGGCGTGTTGCAGATGCGGGGGGAGAACCTGTTGCCGCTGCTGGAGGGGCTGGCAGCGGCGCCGGAGCTCAAGACGCGGCAGGGCAGGCGCGAGGCGGCGGCCAAGGGCGAGTCCAACGCGGACCAGGTCCCCGTGTTCTTCGACCTCTTCAATCACGTCAGCGTGAGTGCTGTTGCGCATGGGATCGGGTGGCGCAGCAGGAGCAGTGGTATGGGTGGCATGGGTGAATGTGCGTGGTGTGA